TTTATGATTTAAACTGAAACTTTTCTATTATATCCCCACATTAAATAATAATATAATAGAGTAGTTTATATGTGTTGATAATAATGTACATATTAGAAAATTAAAAAATATCTATACTTACGATTAAAAAAAAAAAAGGAGATATGACCTATACAAATTCTATCTTTATGAGACCAAGAGAGTAAATAATATCAAATTTTGACGTCTTCTAAAAAAAGGTCGAACCCCAACCTTGAGGGCCCTCACCGCCCCGCTCCTAGAGCATCATGAGAATTTGACATCTTCTAGATTGTATATTTAGTGGTTCATGTAAGATTGAAAATCGATCTAAAACAATTATGCGGAAACTAATTGGATTGAAAAACGAGAAACTCCATGGATCAAGTTTATACCTCCGACCATTGATGTTGTTCCAAAATCTCTACCTTTGTTCGAGATAATGACACTTCTAAGCTCTTAATACTCCAAATTGATAGTATATCTTATATTTTGTAGGTATTTGAGCTTACGGACCAAATCCCTTTTTATAGCCAACTCCCATCAAATTATGGCTTCAATCACCTTTCAATAAATGGCCCAATAAATACTTGCCCCGTTCGTTTCTCATTTTTGTAAGAATGAGAATGAAAAATATAGTCATTACGAGCCCCACACAAGAGATAGAGATTCAAATTTGATGGTTTGATGTGATGAATAACGGTCATATTTTTCATTTTAATGGGGAAAGAATAGGAAACAAACGGGGGCTGAATTGAAGTTTTTATAAATGTTGAAACTGAAGAATGAATGTTGGACCATCAATTGTTTACGAAGAAATTGAAGAAACAGATCTGTTACATTCTCCCAATTGGTCCATACATTCAATCTAATGTCTCAACTGAATTCTATCGATTGTCCTTCTTAAGAAACAAGCACATGAATCATGGCGATGAGTCTTCTAATAATGAGTATAATCTTCCATGTATTATGAAGCATTTAGTTCCTCAAGAATTATTTTTCATAAGGTAATAATACTTAATGAAAAGACCATATGTCTTATTCTTGGTCCTACAAGATATATATTTTTTAAATAAATTAAAGCGCACATGAATATGAGAAAATATCACATCAAATAAGAGTATCGTACAAAGGACCAGCGATCATCAATTTAGTACATACATGCTCAATGACCACTTTCTTTTCTTTAATATGTTCATTTATGGCTAAATACTTAATGATATGTTTACTTCGACTACCACTTTTATTGTTCTTATCCATAAAGACAGCAGCCGAATTGTCGCAGTAAATTCTCAATAGCCTAGAAATAGAATCCATAATTCTAAGCCTAGATATTAAACTCTTGATCCATACACTATGTGAAGTAACCTCAAAACAAGAAACGAACTCGACTTCCATAGTGGAAGTAGCTGTTAAGGTTTGCTTGGTACTCCTCCATGATAAAACTCTACCAACCATCATAAAAATATAACTCAATGTTGATTTTCGTGAATTAACATAGCTGGCAAAGTCTGAATCTGAGTATCCAATCATATCCAGACCGTTTATACATAAGCATGTAATTTTGGTTCCTTGAAGGTACCGCATTACTTTTTTTGCTGCTCTCCGGTGGTTCATACCTAATTTACTTTAATATCGTCCTAACATTCCTATAGCAAATGCAATGTCGTGTCTTGTGTAGACTTGAGCATACATCATACTTTTGATAGTAGAAGCATATGAAATGTTTTTCATTTGTTCTCTTTTTACATCATTTTTCGAGCATTAGTGCAAATCGAATCTATTACCCTTCACAATGGGAGCTACACTTGGTGAACAATCCTTCATCTAGAATCTCTCTAAAACTTTGCCGATATAGGTTTTCTGAGATAGATCCAAAATTCCTCGTAATCTGTCTTTATGAGTTTTAATACCAATAACATAAGATACATTACCTATATCCTTCATATCGAAATGTTTAGATAGAAATTGTTTCACCTATGCAACAAACCCTTATCATTGGTTGCAAGTGAAAATATCATCTACGTATAAAACAAGAAAAAAGACCTTACTCCCTCTAACCTTCTGGTATATTTATTGATACATTGGATTTTCAACAAATCCAAATGAAGAAATTACTCTATGAAATTTTAAATGCCATTGACAGGACGCTTGTTTTAAACCCTATATAGACTTCTTAAATATACAGACTAAATGCTCACCATCATTAGAGGAGAATCCTTTTGGTTGTTTCATATAAACATCTTCCTCTAAATCTCCATTGAGAAGCTATTTTCACATCTATTTGTTGTAATTCAAGGTCAATTTGGGCTACTAATACCAAAATAATTGGTAGAGAATCTTTCTTAGATACCGGAGAGAATGTCTCCATGTAATCGATTCCCCCATTTTGAGTAAATCCCATAGCAACAAGTCTCACCTTGTATTTCTCAATATTGCCTAACGAGTTTTTTTTAGTCTTAAAAACCCATTTACAGCCAATTATTTTGGCACCACCTAGCAACACAACAAGATCCCAAACTCCATTGCTTTTCATGGAACTAATATCTTCCTTGGTATATATTTTTTTCTAAATTTATCATTCATGCTTCCTGTCTCTACTACTATATTTTCTTTTTCTATGTGTTTCTTTCCTATCCGAGTCATTTCTTTTTCTATAAGTTTTTTTTTCTATTTTTTTTTTATCTTTATTCTTATTATTTTCTTTTAATTTTCTAATTTCAATTTTTAATATATTTATATCCTTTCTTATTTCTTTTACTTTATTTCTCAAATCTTGTGTATCATTTATTAACATTTTTATTAATGATTTTAATTCTTCCATGTATTCACTTATTGACATCTTAATTTTTTCTTATTTCTAACTCATAAGTTAATTTGCATATTTTATCTTCATTTTTATATATTATTTTCCTAAATCTTCTTTCAGCTGTTTCTGGATCTACTAATTCTTCTTTTACTATAGTAAAATATTTGCTCTCAAGTCTTAGTCTTTCACATTTTAATTTTGTTAATTGTCTATTTTTTGATATTCTCATTCCTTCTGGTATTAACATTATATTTCTTATTTCTTCTTGTATTTTATCCATTTTTAAAAGTAATTTATTCAATTTTTGATGTGTATTATCAATTGTACTCATATTTTTCTTTATAATATAAATTATTTTCTTCATCTTCATATATACTAATAATTTTCTCATATGTATATATATCCTTTATTGTTTCTATTATTAATTTTTCCAATATTTGTTCTTTTATTTCTTTAGGAAATTCTTTAATTATTATCAAAGTCATTATTTTTAATTTATTATGAATAGGTTTTAAAAATATATAACTACATTTTTCTTCTTTTAAACACCAATAATTATTTATTTTCTTTATTTTAATTTCCATGATCTCTATGGCTCTGATACCAATAAATGGAGGTGCTACTTAGAGCGAACATAAATCAAATAAAAATATTAATCAAATAAAATAAAATTATTAAATTTTAACCAATGTCTAAATTTTTAAGGACTAAAATAGAAAAATTTTATATTATGATACATTGTTATGTAATATCCAAATGGAGAGCATTTTTGGTATGAAATTTGCCTAAGGGCCATTTTGAAAAACTAACTGTCTTGAAAAGGTCATTTCCATATATTTCCCCAAAAATTGGCCCACAAAACAAGCACTGTGCTTAATAATTAAATCTTGTGGAAATTTTACCACACACCTACCTTTTAATAAATATTTAGAATATGCTATTCAACTTTTTTTTTTCTGTTTTTTTTTATTTACCATTAATACTGTTTTTTATAAAGTAAAAATAAAAATATGAAAAGATAACCAAAATCAAATAGGCTATAATTTACGTTGCTAAAGTTACTCCACCAAATGCGCCTTTAAAATAAGGGCCGCAAACACGCCTTAACCTGACTAAATTATCCAAAAAATCCCTAAAATGGCAGTATTTCCTTTTGCAATCAGATTCATCCGCCCAGAATCTCTGTTCCAAATCGCCCACCAAGAAAAGAACCCAAAACATACACAAGGAATTGATCATTCACAGATCTCCCGAAGAAGCTTATTCCATTTCGTACCATACAAATCCGACACTTGATTCCCATTTTCCATTAATTAAGTCTTTACCGCTAGCAAAAAATCCCTTGTCGGAGGCATACCACCCCCCCACCACCACTCCCACCCGACCACAATCCACTTTTTTTCTGAAAAATTTCTATCATGGATGCTGATAGTAGCATATCATCTCTCGGCTTCGTATGGGTACATCAAAATGTTGAAGGGACCCTAGGTGCAGTGGCCCAAAAGCGACGTTTGTCCATGGGGTCCAACAAAACACAGCAAGTAGGCGATTTACACAAGACCTATGAGATTATAGAACCTAAGAATGAACTCGTTAACACCCCGTCTCGACGCATTACCCATTCTATTAATATATCCTCAAAATCAAAAGCCTCAAGCAGCAATCCACCACTTGCAAAGTCGTGCGCGCAGATCCCGAATGTATGGGGGGAAGAACCACACGGAGGACAAAGAGAAGATGGTAGTTGAAGATGTAGCGGCATTTCCAAACAACAAAAAGAAAATGTTTGTGATCCAACACAATTTACAGGTAATTATTTTGGGTTATACAACACTCTTTGTTCTACTCATGCTAGATGTGCAATATATAATTTATAATGCTATAATTATAGTGATTCTAAAATTAGGTTTGTGTGGATATTTTAAAAAATATGCCCCCTTTGGCAATGTAGTGATTGCATCTATTTTTCTTTCAATCTGAGTGAATGTGTATAGCCTGGAGGAAATACACAAAAATGGCTCTTCCACTGTAGTAAAAATTGACATTGGCCTTTGACCCATTAAATGAATTAAAAAAAAACAAATTAAGTTAAAAAAAAAAACTTCACAGTAAAAACCCATTCTACCCTTCAGACTGTTTGAATTATCTCTCACCGACCGACCGACCGACCGACCGACCGACCACTGGAGTTACACCAACATCGCAATCAACGACCATCATCTACAGTGGAAATAAAAGAACCGGTTAGTTTTCTGATCTTTTCTCCAATTCGAATGCTTTTTTTCATAGTATAGCATCCTTAGTAATTTTGGTTGAAATTAGATCCATGGGCATGAGTAGTTAGATTGTGGACATGCTGGAGCGTGAAAAATGTGATTTTTTGCCATTTTTTAGAGCTCAGTGGCCGGGAATGGCAGTTTCCGGCCGTTTCCCGGCCACCGGCTCGTTGCAGTCGGTTAACCGACTGTTAACAGTCTGGGCCGGTGAACCGGCCCAGATTAAATATTTAAATTTAATTTTTTTTATAATTTTTGTAATTAATTAAATTTTATATTTGATTAAATAGTAATTATATTATTTATTTATTTAATTAATTTTTTTTATCATTGTCAATATAATATAATAATTGAAATATTGTAAAATTAACAATGTTGATTATTTTTTTTAATGAAATTATCTTTAATTTATTTTTTCAAATTTTTTTATGAAATTATCTTTAATTTTTTATTTCAAATTTATTTAATTTTTATATTTGTCTTTTATATAATTTAATAATTGAAATATTGTAAAATTAACAATGTTGATTCTATTTTTTTATGAAATTATCTTTAATTTATTTTTTTTAAATTTATTTAAATAATATGAATAGTCTAAATTTTAAAAAAAAAGGTAAAGTAATTATTTATTTAATTTTTATATTTGTCTTTTATATAATTTAATAATTGAAATATTCTAAAATTAACAATTTTGTGTTGTTCTTTTTTTTTTTATGAAATAATCTTTAATTTATTTTTTCAAATTTATTTAAATAATATAAATAGTATTTACATTTTTTGAAAATGTAAAGTAATTACTTATTTAATTTTTATATTTGTCTTTTATATAATTTAATAATTGAAATATTCTAAAATTAACAATTTTGTGTTGTTCTTTTTTTTTTTATGAAATAATCTTTAATTTATTTTTTCAAATTTATTTAAATAATATAAATAGTCTTTACATTTTTCGAAAATGTATTTAATTTGAAATTTTTTGTTTGTAAATATATTTTCCAAATAATAATTATTTTATTTAATTATTTAATTTTTATAATTTCCTTTTTTATATAATTTAATAATTGAATACATAATATTGTTCGAAATTAACAATTTGTTTTGTTCCTTTTATTGTTCTTTTATGAAAATCTTTGATTTTTTTTCAATTTATTTAAATAATATTTATATTCTTTAATTTTTTTGACAATACATTTAATTTGATTTGTTGTTTTTTGTAAATATATTTTTCAAATGTAATATTTGTGATTGTATGGTAGTTAGAGTTCGGTTCTCTTGATTTTGTGAGATTATGCTTTATTTTGTTATCTCTTGTTCAATGCTATAACATTTGAATTTTTGCAGGATGGAGTATCATTTAGATGCAGAGTTGAGACGGATGTCGGGGAAAGTTACTTGGAACAGTAGCTTTGAGAGTTTTACTGCTGTATTGGAGCTGCTGGATGATCAGCACGGAGATATTCTACGACAGTCCTTCTTGTGGCCACTGTACCAGTTGCGAGAGGTGCAGTACTTAGGACAGATCATTGATGCACTTCTATGTCGGCTTCTGAGGCCAGTCGACGGCGATTCCCTCTAGTTCGACCTCGGGGGCAAGGTCGTCAGTTTCTCGATGTTTGAGTTTACATTGATCACTGGACTGAAGATTACGGACGACGATGCAGCCATGGAGAGAAGCAGTAGGCTGTACGAGACGTACTTCCAGGGACATGGGTCGGTGCTTCTACCTGACTTGATGGTCGCGATCAGGGGGTGCAACCATATGCTAGATAGATTGAAACTTGGGCTGGTCTACATCTTCGAGAGTGCGATGAGGTGTCATCACAAGAAGACTGCCATCGACATTTTTCATTTGCAAGTTGTTGACGACATCGATGCGTTCAACAACTATCCGTGGGGCCGAAGATGCTACGAAGACACTGTACATGTGTTCACCAGATCGCACTCGAGGCCCAGGGGGTCAATGCGTAAATACGATACATATGGATTGCCGTTAGCAGTGCAGGTAAATGTTTAATATAATCAAAGTTAAAGTTTTAGTGTATTACATTGATGCTTAATAAGTGTATGTGTTACAGATTTGGGTGTATGAGACAGTTCCTGTACTGGGGGCTCGCTTTGCGTAGCGAGGGGAGACACGCTGCCCTTGGATGCATCATTGGAGATCATCGCGAGCGGAGGGATGTCCCACTGGGAAGTAGTTATCGACCCTCCTCGACGATCCTCGGGTAAGTATTATGCATTTGTGATTTATATTATACGTAGTTTAAAATTTTGTTTACATGATCGTTAAATAGTTGAAATGTCAATATGTCAGCTTGAAGTCATACTTGAGTTGACGCCATCGATAGAAGAGGAGGCGTGGGGTCCTGTGCGGGATTTAGGCGTTCCGCACACCCCAGACGAGGAGATGCCTGATCCGAGATTGGACCGAGATTGGGTATGTGAATGAAATATAATTTATTGAATATGATCGACGTATAAATTTATTGAATAATTTTTCATTTTATTTATGTAGGAGGGCGGTCCAGCTGATCGACGATCACCTCCGTCGGGGCCATCGCCGCCACCATTTGCATCATCTCCGCCGAGAGTATCGTCCCCGCCATTGGCATCACCTCCGTCGAGGGCATCACCGCCGCTAGTGGCATCACCTCCGCCGGGGTCATCGCCGCCGCCATTGGCATCACCTCCATCCAGACACCTCCCTCGTGTGTCTCCGGGGCACAGTGATGATTTGTATGCCCGTTTGACTGGATTTATAGAGGAGGTCGACGCGCTACGACGAGATTTGACGGAGATGGTCGATGATCTGGGACGAGAGTTGACAGGGAGGGTCGACTATCTGGCAGGGAAGGTTGACTATATGACAAGGAGGGTCGACGATATGGGACGAGAGTTGACAGGGAGGGTCGACGATCTATCCTATGATGTTGGAATACTACAGTCTTCCGTTGTCGACCTTCAGGATACAGTAGCGGCGCTTAGAGGAGATTTAGCCGACAGACGATGGGGGGACAGAGGGGATGGCGGAAATCATGATCGAGAGGGTGGCAAAGATGGTGATGGAGAGGGGGGTCACCCACATTTTTGGCGTGATGAGACATTGGAGTCCTTGTGGTTGTCTATGGAGGGGGTGGCCCCGATGGGGATGGGAGAGGGGACTACGGAGGGGGTGGCCTCGACGGGAGGGGCGGAGGAGGTGGCGACGAAGGGGGAGGCCCCGACGGGAGGGGCGGAGGTGGTGACGACGGAGGGAGAGGCCCCCATGGAGGGGGCGGAGGAGGTGGCCCCGGAGGTCGAGAGGACGCCCGGCGTGATTGAGGGTAAGAGACATGCTGTTGACGAGACGAAGCAGGTGGTCGGCAAGAGATTGAGAGTGCAGTCACAGTATGTTGTTTCCCCCTTCACGGCTGAGGCCAAGAGGAGGACGTTCATCGATGGGACGTACCCGAACTTGTTCAGAGAGGTGGACAATGCCAAATGGAAAGCTTTCGAGACAGAGTGGAGGAGAATTATCCCCGGGTAAGTATTATATGATTTTAATAAAGCACTGTACGCTAATTCGTCTACGCTTATTTTAACATTTCCCTCTTTTTTACAGAGTTAGCCGCACGATAGGACAAAGGACAGTCTCAGACCCTTACAAGTGGTTCCACGATATCACCACTGGGGGAGCTTGGCTCGCTGACGATGTAAGTGAACTATTCATTTCGTGTTTTTTATGTATATGTGACCTTGTGTTTATTAAATGAATAACTCATACTTTTTCGGTGTTTCCTGCTGCAGCACATCAACCTGGCCATGGACTTGCTACGAGATCGAGCTCAAAGACATCCAAAATCATTTGATGTCCATGGTCGAGTCATATTAAATACCGAGTTCCTCGGTGCCATTACCATAGAGTATCAGTCGCTCGCACATATGAGTAACGAGTACACGGTGCCAGAATATATGCTCGAGTGGGTGATAGGACTATCACCGAGTGTCGGGGGAAAATCATGGGAGGGTTGTACACATATGTACATTCCAGCGTGCATCAATAAACACTATGTTACGCTAGAGATCGTTTTTGCTGACTCGACTATATATGTGTACGACCAGATCATTCATGTTTGACACAAGGCCAGTTGGAGCAAAATTTGGAGTCCGTGGCTGTCATTGTTCCTATGATGGCTAGACGAGCGGGGATAAATGTACAGGACAGATTGCGGATAGTTCGGAACACGACGACAGCGCGACAATCCGTAAGGTAAGTGTTTGAACGTTGTTGTTTTCATCTTTCAGATTTAGTTTTTATTTACACAGTACTAAACTGATTCATTCTTGTTCAATTGTAGCGGCGACTGCGGCATATTTGCCATTAAGTACGTTGAATTTTTAAGTATAGGACATAAGATTGATGAAATCAACCAGTCGTGGATACAGAACTGGAGAAAGAAGCTAGCATGTGATTTGTTCGAATTTAATGCTGACCCATAAATTTCATTTATATATATGTAACATTTCAATTGTTAATTTAATTATTTTTGTAATTATAAAATAATTGTAAATTTGTGTTCAATGTATATAACATTCAAATTGGAAATTTAATTATTTTTGTAATTATGAAATAATTGTAAATTAGTGTTCAATGTATATAACATTCAAATTGGAAATTTAATTATTTTGGTAATTCTGAAATAATTGTAAATTAGTGTTCAATGTATATAACATTCAAATTGGAAATTTAATTATTTTGGTAATTCTGAAATAATTGTAAATTAGTGTTCAATGTATATAACATTCAAATTGGAAATTTAATTATTTTGGTAATTCTGAAATAATTGTAAATTAGTGTTCAATGTATATAACATTCAAATTGGAAATTTAATTATTTTTTGTTATTTTACCCGTATGCCGAGTATGGAACTATTTTTTGTATATTGAAGATTTATAAATAACAAATATTGAACAGTGTAAAGTAAAAGGAAATATTATTCATTTCACATACCTTTCTAGTCGTCATTTAGGGGAATTTGACTGGTACAAAATTGTCGAGTATGCCCTACGGCTCTGCACTGGCCACACCTACGTGGTCGAGAAACTCTCCGGTAGATGGTATTCTAGATGTACTTGGACGCCCAGGACCACGCGGTTCAACTGCTAGTGGTAACAAATTATGAAATGGGAGAATGTGCTCGGGAACTTCCCACTCGACTTCATTCGACAGAGGAAATATAGTCTCGGCATATGCTGTTCTCCAAGACTCAGTCGTATAATACAAAGAGCACAACGTTCTCGCAGCAAAGCCTCGATACATGGCCACCGCAACTGCATGCTCACATGGAAAACTCTCCAACTGAAATCTCGTACAAGTGCATGTGTTATCAGTCAAGTCCACCATATATGCCGTATTACGTGCACATTGCACGGAGAAGTGAACTCATCTAGTGCTTCCACATTCAACTTCCTCGCAACCTCTGCTGCCTTAAACAGTTTCTCCTCTTGAGCTGGGGCCAACACGCTAGTGCAACTCTCTGATGCCGCACGTCGGTCATGAAATCACTGTTGTAGCTTGTTACGAATGTTCTCAATCATTGAGAGAATTGGTAACTCTCGATCCTTCTTAAACAATGCATTGAGAGACTCCGCGTTATTCGACGTCATCATGTTATATCGACGTCCTGGAAAGTATGACCGCGCCCAATGTTTGATCCCCATCTTCGTCAGATACTCCAACACCGGTAATGATTTACTTCCTATCTCGAGCATGAACTAATTACACTCTTCAGCACTGTAAGCTTCGGCTGTTCTCCTAAACAATGAAACGATGCCTGTGCCTCGATACCTAGTCTTCAAATTACCTTGTATATGGTACATGCAATACCCGTGATGTGCCTCGGGAAAAACTTCAGCGATACCGTTTATTATAGACTGTCCTCGATCGGTTACAAAGGCAAGGTCTTCAACTTCCCCGATCACTTTCCTCAGTTTAGAAAAGAACCAACGCATGGACAGATCATTCTCGCTGTCGACTGTGCCGAATGCAATAGGATAAATTTGGATGTTGGCATCTTGACATGTAGCAATAATTAATTTTCCTTGATATTTAGTTTTCAGAGTCGTACCATCAACTAGAATTACGGGTCGCATTGCATTTCGAAAACCCCGAATAGATTGTCCGAGAGCCATGAAGAAATACTTAAAACAATTATCACCCCCCGTCTCAATAAAAAATGCCGTGCCAGGATTAGTTGTCCCCATGTTATGGCAATACCTAGCCAATTTAGCATAGCTCTCTTCAGTCGATCCCATTAAATCCTCCAATGCACATTCTTTGGCCTTTCATGCTTTCTGATAGCTCATGACCACTCTGTACTCTCGACGGACGTCGTTAATGATGTATGAAGGTCTGTAGATCGTCCGTGGATCCTGATATTTGTGCATTATTTGTTGACCAATAAACCATGCTCGAGCTTGTCTGTGATCGTTTAGAAGAATTCCCACTTAGCAAGTATGTTCCCGTAAATACTTGCGAATTACGAAGCACTCATTCATGTCCATCTTAGTTGCTCTCAAGCGCCAATTGTAACTGTCTTCGACGCAAGCAACTATCAACAATGACTTGTTTGATTTCTTTACCTTGAACTCAAAGTTATATTTTAATGCCAGTCGGTGCACAGCTTCCTGCAAATCTTTCTTGGTTTCAAACAGTTGCTCGACCTGCAAATCCTCATCATCGGGAGCCACACGGGAAGAATTCGAGGACGGTCCACTTGTTCTAACCTGTGAGCTCGCTCGTGTCTCTGTCGGGATAAAGCAATCAAATTCTTATTTGTAAACTCGTTTATGTTCTCATTGTCTTCAACTGTTGACGGAATTCTGCGCGTAACAGCGACATCACGATCAGAAGCAACTGTCTCAGGAATACCCACATCATCCGCAGGAACTATCTCCACTGTCTCTCAAAAACCTCGATCATTGTTATCCGCCCTATCCAAATCTTCGCGTTCACCTTCGATAACATCCTTCCTAATTAAAGTCACACCAAGAACAGTCGGAGTCCGATGCATTTTATTCAATTCTAATAGATAATTCAATTCAGCATCATTAGTAACGAATACCGGTGGCATCGGAATGGATGAATCCCCATAACCGTTGAATAGAATCTCAATTGCATATCGTATTGAGATTGATCGACATTCAGCTTATTTTGCAAATCGTGGTACATTTCTAAGTATGGTGTACTCTCTGTTACGGGAATTGCAATACAACCACGTATGTCATTCGTCCATCTCCATTCCCACCGATAATTTTCATTCAATTCGAAATCACCTAAATAACACACGGGGATTATCATATCTGCATGAGGAAATGGTTTTAATCAACTTCAAATATTAATTATAAGAAAGAAAAAGGCATTAAAAATAGGCTGCAGCCAATTGGCTGTTAAACAGCCTAACAATAAACAGCCGGCTTTTTAACAGCCAACAGTTGGACTGTTTCCGACTGTTTGTTAAGCTTTATCCAGTTTGACGTAGGAGAATACCGTTCTAAAAACGAAATTAAGCATGCGTAATTTAAACGTAAGTTATACATCCGTTTAATTTTTTTTTTGATAGGTTCTGTTAAAAAAAATCTATGTCGACATAAAATTTCTCTATTTAAACCTATACTAATTTACTTAAAATGAAATTAAACATGCATAAATATACTTACCGATTTGAAGTAATTGATGTGAAAAAAATTTCCAGTTTCAACGTTCCAAAGTTCTTCTAGATTTTGAGGTTCAAGCAAATGAAAAGATGAGAGTTTTTGCTCGTTTTGAAGTTTTTATAAGTGAAAAAATGTTTGATTTTCAATTATTAACTAAAAGGGTAGTATAGTCCTTTCAACAATATATTGTTTTATAATTGTACAAAATATTTAAGAGCATCTTTGTCTTTTACCATACAAGATGTCAATGTCATAATATTCATGATTTTGGAAGTCAAACTGAAATTTTGCTCCTTTGACTGGGTCAAAATTAAAAGTACCCTGTCTAGCCTGCTGGAATTATTAAGTTTTAAACAACCGTTACACTTTTTCTGTAAACTACATTTGACCATCGTGGTTTTTCTGTTTGGTTGTGTATTACACTTTATTTCCATTGTGGTTTGATATAACTTTGATTGCATACGATCTGATGCATATTAGCTAGAAATAAAATAAGTTAGTTATCTGCAAATGGGATGTCCAAAACTCAATCCCAATGGTGTGATGGAGTCAATAATTTTTGTTGTCCGTATCAGCAATTTTTGAAGCTCTAAATTTCCAATCGCAATTTTTCAAGATACAATTAAGCTACTCTTTATTGTCTGATTTGTAAACCTTATACTGGAAGTTATTTCATATAACGTACAAGGCGAGAGTATTCTTCAAAATATTTTTGTCTCTAAATATATGACTTTCATGTACAAATTGCACATCAGGGCCTGTCGCTACATTAGTCATTTATTCTAATATGTCATCTTCCATCTCCAGCGCCAATAATTCAATGCCTGATACGAAATTATGTGCTACTAAATTTACTTTTGACAAATTAGCAGACAGAAGTTGTGAACCATTGATGTTATCTGTCTAAACCTA